ATGACTTGGTCTCACCCTCCAAAATCACAAGCCTAAGATATTCCGGAACAAGGGCCACTTGAATGGGATCAGGAGCTCATTTGCTTTTCCACCCTTTCCCACTTCTGATGGAAGTCTTGAAATGGAACAAAGTAAGGCATTCTAGACAATAGGATCTACTCACCTCAAGCCCATGCCCAAATGCTTTACCAGGTTGCTTAGGGAGATGTTGTTAGCTTGAAAGGGTTTCCTCTTCTCTGCAAACTCGTGTGCCAGGCAGATGCGCCAGCCAAAAGGAGGCACCTGGTACCCCCTAGCTTTTCCCTCATAGGACGCCATCAGCTGCCCAGAGTCCTCCGGATTGCAGTAGCCTGGTTCATTTTGGCGTCGACTGTCCTCAGGGTTCTCGAAACCTGTAACCTGCACAGCCTCCGAGCTCCCAACAGCTTCTGGGCGATAGAGCTGGGAATCCCCTTTGGCGCTGCTAATCTGCTCCAAGGCTGGGACGCTGGTTTCCATGTTCTTTGGATCCTGGGCGCCCACAACCTCTGACACAATGTATGGCCCCGGGTCCCGAGACCTCTGACACAAAGTATATCTCCAAGCCAAGTGCAGACGCGGGCGCCGGTAGTAGTTAGGTGCCGTCCGGGAGGGCTGGACCAGCTGGGGAAAACTGGGGTGAGCTGGTGGCTTCGTAGAAGCGGGGAGTTCTTGTTGCAGCGGTGGCGACGACAGCAATAAAGCTGCCTCGGACTCCCTTTCGGTAGTGTCTCTAGGTCCTAGGCGGGAAGGGTCGGGCCTCGCCTTCATTGGGCCGTGGTGATTAGCTCCTCTGGCCAAAGGCCGACTGGGCCCGCGGAGAGGGGCGGAGCCGTGGGACCGGCCCGCAAGGCACCGCCCCGGGACCAGCCCGTACAGTCCCGCCCCCGGAACCGGCCCGGGAGCTCACGGCGGCCTTGGCCCCGCCCCGGGCCACGGCACCAGGCCCCCCAGGGTTGACCGCCGGGTCCGGCCCGCGGGGGTCCGGGACAGCGCCCACACCCAGGTGCCAGCCCGTGGGATGGTGACCCCGGGCGCCTGGAGGACCCGAGCTTCTTCCGGTCCGGACAGCCGGGTGCTTCCGGCCGGAAGGGGCTCCCTGAGTGGGGCGGGGGGGCGGATCTGAAAGGAAGTCCCGCCTCTGCCGCGCCACCTACGCCGCGGACGCCGCCGCGTACCTGGCCGGGTCCCGGAGGGGCCCGGGCAGGTGAGGACCTTGGTGTCCTGAGACCCTGGGTTTGGACCGTGCGAGGTGACAGGCGGCGGTGGTCTTGGGCTGGGATGTGAAGTCTTGAGGGAAGTGGGGTGTGGAGGCCAGCCTGTGATGGGGGGACTGAGCCGGTGCTAAGGGGAGCCGGGGTCTGGGGACCAGAACGACGCCTTCCCCCTAGGCAGTACAGGGTCAGCAGCCCCGTGACCCTCCTGTCCTGCCAGCTACCCAAAATCCTGGCATTTTCCTCTGGTACCGAGGTGTTGACCACCAGTCCTCTGACACTTGTAAGAAAACCCCCATATATTGGTCTCTGGGACTCAGTTCTAGACATACCCCTAGGTTCAGGCTCCCTCCCTGTCATGTTACTGACCTCTGATCTCCCATGTTTCCTTCTAGATCTGAATCCAGAGCTGCCATGATTGAAGTGGTAGCTGAGTTGAGCCGAGGTCCTGTATTTCTGGCGGGGGAGGCACTGGAGTGTGTGGTAACCGTCACCAACCCCTTACCTCCTACAGCCACTTCTGCATCCAGGTGAGGATGCTCCTGCTGAAGGTGGTGGCCCTTCTGGGAGGAAGCTTGGTATCTCTGGTGCTATGACAGAGATCAGGTTGTTCAGTAGCTATACCACCAACTTCTTGCTCATTGTGTTCTCATTGTAGGAAAGGGCTATTTAACAGAAGGGATGGATGACATAGCCCTCCACTCTCCTCCTCCCTTCCCTAGCCCTCCCCATTTCCCTTTGTACTCATAGTATACTTTAATGTAATGGTTTCTCTTTGGGGGTTCCAAATTTCCTGATCACTAGGATAGCCTTCTAACCTTGTTGGTCTCATCAGACAATGTGGTAGGGAGTTTGGGAAAGCATTTGTGAGGTCAGGAATTACCCTCTGATGTCTCCTTTTCCTCTTTCCACAGTGAGGCTCTGGCTTGGGCCAGTGCCCAGATCCACTGCCAGTTCCATGCCAGTGAAAGTCGAGTAGCACTGCCTCCCCCTGATTCTAGTCAGCCAGATGTCCAGCCTGACAGTCAGACTGTGTTTCTGCCACACCGAGGTTAGAGATGGGGCATTTGCCTGGGGTTCGGGGGTGGTTGGAGTCATTGTCACCCAGTGTGATTTTAAGTTGTTCTCGTGTGTTACAGTCCGTGTCACACTGGGGATGTAGAGGAAGGTAGCTGGTGCTTTGTGGTGTAAGAGTCTGTCCCATATCACAACAGGAAAAGAGGTGGCATCCTTTCACTGCCTCCACTTGCTTTACTAGCCTTGTCTGACATTGGACAGTGGAGTCATTAAATTGCAGTCTTTCCTGATTTTTATAGGTGAGAGAGGTCAGTGTATCCTTTCTACTCCACCAAAAATTCTATTTTGTGACCTGAGGCTAGACCCTGGAGAGTCCAAATCATGTGAGTGACTGTCCCTAGCCCTGGATTGCCTTCTAAGTCTCCTGGAGGGAGGACTCCTCTGGCTGCCTCTAGCTGCCCTGACTACTGCTTCCCAACCAGACTCCTACAGTGAAGTGCTGCCCATTGAGGGACCACCCTCCTTTCGGGGTCAGTCGGTCAAGTACGTCTACAAACTGACTATTGGCTGCCAGCGTGTCAACTCACCCATCACTTTACTTAGGGTCCCTTTGAGGGTTCTTGTACTGACTGGTAAGTAAGGGTGCCTGGAGGGAAGGGCTGGAGTAGAGCATTGCCAAAGCAGAAATAATCTAAGAGGGCTTGCAAGCGGGGCTGCAGGGAAGCTTTCTTAGGGATGGTGCTAGGGAATTGGGGAGGGAGGGAGCGTTCTGGAGATTATGTCAAGATGTTGACCTCATCCAATGCTTTTCTTACTTGCACTTCTCTCAGGTTGGAGTCTAAACTCAAATCTCTATTTTCATCTGTTCCCTCCTAGCACTACCTCTTCACTTTTTCTCTCTCTAGGCCTTCAAGATGTCCGGTTTCCCCAGGATGAGGCTGTAGCCCCATCTAGTCCATTCTTAGAGGAGGATGAGGGTGGCAAGAAGGACTCATGGCTTGCTGAGCTAGCTGGGGAGCGTCTCATGGCTGCCACATCCTGCCGTAGCCTCCGTGAGAATCCTTTCAGAATTGTTCCACCCCATTCCTCCTTGCAAATTATTCCCATGTCAAAGACAGTCTCCTAACTACCACATGTTTTTGTGGATGATCTGATTATCTCACCCTGGATTATAAAGATAAGTCCCACCTTTTGGCCTCTGGAACACAGTTCTAGACATCCCCCAGAGTAGACTCCAGGCTTATAGTGTTTCATTCTCCCCAGATCTGTATAATATCAGTGATGGTCGAGGGAAAGTTGGGACATTTGGCATCTTCAAATCTGTGTACAGACTTGGCGAGGACGTGGTGGGAACCTTAAACTTAGGGGAAGGAACTGTAGCTTGTTTGCAGGTAAGAAGGGAGACTGGGGTGCTGGGCTTGAAGGGCTGTTGTAGAAGGAGGCCCTACAGAGAGAGGGGTGGTATGTAGAAGTGGACAGTGGGGTCACCCAGGGTGCCTTTGGTAAAACATTTTGAGATTGGGCTACTCTGTCACTTATGTCTGCATTTATAAATGCCTGCTTACATGTAACTCTCTTCTTGCTCCTAGTTTTCAGTAAGCTTACAGACCGAGGAACGGGTACAGCCTGAATACCAGCGGCGCCGGGGGACAGGGGGTGCTCCCTCTGTGTCCCATGTGACTCATGCCCGGCACCAGGAGTCCTGCTTACATACTACCAGAACCAGCTTCTCTCTCCCCATCCCTCTCAGCTCTACCCCAGGCTTCTGCACTGCCATTGGTGAGACACTGACCAATATTGGAGAAAGGAGAATAAAATTCTGTATTAGCTAGAGTGTAATGGGTCTTGATTGCTAACACATTTCCCTATATACCTATGTTCATCCTGTGACCCTTAATGTTTTCTCAGAGCTTTAACCTCTACCTCTGTTTTTGGATGCATAGAACCCTAAACTCTTCAGCAGCTTTGTAGAATTCCTTCCCCACTCCAACCTACTGGGCCTCTGTGATGCACTGATCTCTAATTCTTCAGAACATTTACTTCAATCTATGTAGTCCTGACTGTCCCATTCTTGGGTTATTAGGTAGTTGATACTGCTCTCCTTAACAGATTTCTTCAAAAAATGCCCTTGATCAGAACTCCTTGTGACTTCCCTTTTCCTGAATACAAATTTTGTTTTGTATTGTTTCTCATTCACTAACCACATCCTGCTGTTGGCTTTTACTCCTGCTGGCTTCTAATGCCTCTATCTCTCTTTTTTCCCATAGTGTCCCTGAAGTGGCGACTGCATTTTGAATTTGTAACATCCCGAGAACCAGGATTGGTACTCTTGCCCCCTGTGGAACAACCTGAACCTGCTACCTGGACAGGTCCTGAGCAAGTGCCTGTAGACACCTTCAGCTGGGATCTTCCCATCAAGGTGCTGCCTACAAGCCCAACCCTGGCCTCATATGCTGCTCCAGGCCCCAGCACCAGCACCATAACCATCTGAAACTGGCCCATCTACCCACCATGACACTAGCTTCTTCAAGATTCTGAGAACTTAGCATGTGGACTCTAGCTGGAATCCACTTTTTCCACCTAGGACCTAATAGCACAGACAATTGAGAGGCAGTCTGGGCTGGGAGTGTAGCTCAGTGGTAGAGCATTTGTCTAGCATGTGCAAGGCCCTGGGTTCAATCCCAGCACGGGGCAGGGGGGGCGGGGGGCGGATATATATATATAAAGAGAGAGAGAGAAAGAGGCAGGCTTTCAGCTATAGCATTAATTTATTTATTCAGAATAAATTGGCAGCTGCTAGTGGTTTCCCTGGAAGTGGCAACAGCAGTGAGCAGTCTGCAGACAGGTGATCAGTTGAGTTTAGCCGGAGTGAGGAGCAGGAACCCCAGGAACAGGGGTGTTAGCTGAGCCCCACTCTGGGTCGGGTCCTCCCCCTTTGCAGGGCAGCCGAGGGTCTGATTTTTGCACCAGGGAGAACTGGCAGGTTCCTGCCTCTTGACGTACCTCACACTCAGCAGGGAAGTCGATGGGGTGCTGAGACCTAGGGAACCAAGGATGGGGAAAGAGCTCACAGTAAAAGCCCACCTTTATGGTACCCCCATTCTTTCTCACTGCTGCTGTCTTCCTATATCTTCTTCACCTACTATACAAGAACTTTTGGGCTATGTAGCAGGAGTATTTTCCTTCTAGATCTGCTTCCACCTCCCTGACTTTGTGGCTTGAAGCTTTATCTTTCTCATTCCGTACTTTCAGGTCTGGCCAGTCTCATACTGCCCTTCTATTCATTCTAACCTCATAGCAATCTAATCACTCCCTGGCCTTCCCTCAGTCACTCACATCAGAGGCATTCCCTCTGGCCATTCTTGGTTACTCACGTGTCACAGCAGCCCACACCAACAGGATGCAGACAGGTGCAATGGAAACAATCCTTGCGGAGCCAAGACTCACCCAAGGTGAAATATTTCCCCTCATAGTGACAGGGGGCTAGGGAAGAATGAGAAATGTTAGTAGGCATGGGAGGGGTGACAGCAGACAGTCTCTTCTGGTCTGAGGTTGGAGAGAGTCTGTTCATACTATCCCTATATTTAATCTTTCTGTCCTGTTTCACAGCTAAAAGGAATCTGAGTAATTTGATTAGCATCATCTGTAAAGCCCTCATCATCACCCCCAAGCCCATTCCTTATTCTTTGATTTACTCAAGTCTCAACCCACTTTACCTTGAGCTTGGAAGTAACACTTGCTGTGGACTCCTGGGTACTGCAAGAAAAGAGACATCACCAAACAGATGATCCCCCAGCCTCCTAGGATCCCTTTGGTCTGTCCAGCCCAGAGCATCCTCAGAGCCATTCTTGCAGCACTGCCCTCTTGGACCCTTCTTAGCTTCTGTTCAGGATACTCTGATCTTGTCCTTTTGGCTCTTCTTTGCTTTGCTCCTTGAGTCTTTAGTTTTGCTCTTTTTCCCTGGCCTCCTATCTCACATCATCTCCTTGCCCTCTGCTCTCACAGGCTGGGATGTTTATAAAGTGAGGACCCTGGCCCCCTGCTGAGTAGAGCTGGAACCGCTGTAACTCTGTTTCCTGAGGTGAGGGCATGAAAACAAGAGGTCCAGCTTTAACAAGCTGTGAGAGCTGATTCATGCCCCAGCACGGCTAGAAGGAGGGAGGTGGCTGTGGAAGGGGCACTGGACTGGGCAGTTCCCCAAGCAAGGAGGTGGGAGGGGTGAGAGCTCCAGGTGGTCCCAGATCTCCCTGAAATGGAGAGAGGAAACATTCCACCTTCCCCCACCCCACCCTCCACTACCACCACCAGGAGTGTGTGTGCTGGGATCCCTGCCTGAACCGGAGGGAGGTATTTCCTGGGGATGGCTAATTCTGTGCCCTCGCCAAACCAAGGAGCTACAGCAGGGTGCAACAGCCAGAGGCTCCAGGAGAGTGAACAGGCACCTGGAGTGGAGAGCCTGTTTCCTTCAGATCCTGGGGCAGGTTTTCTTTGATGCATTCAAGAAACAGGGCTGCCCTTCAGAGATGTTGGGAGTGAGGGGTGTTTTCCTCAGGCATCCCAGAGATGAGCTATCCATAATTTATCACCCGCAAACATAAAGCAGCTGCTGTAAGACTGCCTCATGTCTGGGGATACTTCTGTTCCCATTTCAAAGAGGAGCATTTTCTCTAGGCACCCTAATCACCTGCTTGAATCACCTGTTTTACAGAGGGGCCCCCATCTTTATTCAGGGTGGAATGAGGCTTCAGGAATTTATCTTTTGGCATTCTCCTTTGAGTTTCCTTCAGGTTCTGAAGGACTCAGATGGGTGATTGAGAATGTAGGCCAAAGAGATAGGCTACTGGGATTCAGATCCTGACTTATTAGCCATGTGACTTTGGGCAAGTTACTTCATCTCTCTCAGCCTATTTCCTCATCTATAAGTCAGGGATAGTAACGCCACATCATAGAGTTGTTATGCAATAGCATAGGGAATATTCTTAGCACTGTCTGGTACATAGCTACTGTATTGGTGCTAAAGCTCACAGACAAAATGGGTGACATTCTTTACTTTGAATGACACGGAGTAGCTCTGTGCACAGCTGAGGTCATCTGTTGAGGACTGCTCTCTCACAGCCAACTTCTTCCCTTTCATGTATATGGTCTGTGTTATCCCTACCACCTCCTTCAAACATGCATCCAGGAATATTTTGATTTGGGTCCTAATATTGAATTCTAAGTGTCTGGTTTGAAAAACAATGTTGTTGATCAACCTGCTTTTTCCTCATATCAGTGCCCTCATATCTTGCCTGGGAAGAGGTGTTCTTTCTCATTTCTTTCCTGCTAACTTTAGAGCTTCTACTTTTTTTTTCATTAGGATTCTGATCCATTTCTTCCCATCCACACTGAAGTGGCTGCTCAAGTTCTATGTTCTGATCACTCTAATATTAGCTTTCTTTTTGGTACTAAAGGCCCTGGTCAAACTGGATTTCTTTGACTTTTCCACACTTTGAAGGCCCATGCTCCAGCTCTTCCCCTCCTACTCATGGGGCTGATCACTGCCATTGTTACCATTTTTCCTCCTAAATGTCTGCTTCCATTTACTTCAAGACTTACTCTGTCACCTGTAGGTACAACTACTTCTGGCAAACTTTTTCAGAGGACCACCCTGTCTGTCAACATCCTCTCCATTCAGAAATGACTTTCAGTGCACTTCAAACTCCCTAGCAATCCTCTTCCAAAATATTCTTTCAGAGGAGTGCCAAGATAAGAAAGAAAAACTCACAATTGCAGCAGGGTGCCCTGAGGTAGGCTGGTGTGTGGAATACCATGGCCTTCGACTGCTCACTTGGTTGGAGCCCCGGAATTAGAAGCCCTATCTGGCACAAAGGCCCAGAAGTCTTGTCAATTGTCAGTATCTCTGCGGCTATCTTTGGTGGGGTCCAGCCAATGTCCAGGAAGCCGAGCCATAGACTATAACCTGGGGCCGACTCCATAGGGGGCAGGCGTGAGTGGAGAGCGGGAGTGCATGGAGGTGGCGGTTGTGATGCTGGAAGGTGAAGGGGCCTATTATTCATTGGTGTGTGAGGTTATGGATACAGGAAAAATGAGGGTTTTCGCCTGCAATGGACATGCGGTCAGTATATAGGGGCAGGAATAGGGGGCTTTTGGGAAAGAGGCTTGGTGAGCCAGGATTCCTCTCCCAGAAGTTAGAGGGGTGGGTGTGGAGGTGTTGGTTGATCCAAGTATGCATTCCTATTAGTATGTCCATGTGTAGGGACTGTCAGTGCTTGGGGTCCAGCCCTCTGAGTCCCAGGGAAATGGCCATTTGGGGCACTAGTGGCGCGGGGCACAGTGGTTGGCATGCACTGCCAGCGCAGGAATAAGGAAAACATCCGCCGGAGGCCCAACCGGGCAGCGCTCCAGCGGAGCCGGCAGGTGCGCGGGATGAGGAAGTGAGCACATTCCGGCTCCTTCTCGGCCACCCGCCTTTCAGTGAGTCACCGCGGACCCCCGCTGGCCTGCAGCCTGATAGGAGCCACCAACTCCCGGGCCAGGAGGGAGAGAGCAGCGGCCTTTGGGGATGGTGGCACCTGGAGATTTGGGAGCCTGGACCCCAGAAGGATCATGGAAAAGCCCAGAAACCATGGGGGAGGGGTATCTGTGCGGACAGTGTCCTGTTGGTTCAAGGGCAAACCGCAAAGCACGCTGAGTATGTACCTTGTGACTGAATGGAGTTTCTTGGGATGAAAGTCTCTGGGAGAACTTCATGTACTGGGAGAGGCCCTAGAAAACTCACACAGAGAAAAGGGCCCTGGGGAAAACCTAGAATCTTGAGGAGGTACTCAGAAAGGGAAGAGGAGCCCTAGGACTGCAGTACCAAGAAGAAACTCCAGGTTGGGCCTTAGAGAACTGAGAGACTCAGTGCAAGGAAAGATACTCATCAGATGAGAGGTGGAACTGGCTAGTCCCCTCCAGAGACCTGTGTGGACAGGGGAGGTTAGGCAACAATTGTGATTTGGTCATTGAAGGCTTTTAGTACCAGGATGAAGAAAGTCTATTTGGCCTCCCAGGTAGAAAAAACCATCATTGGTCTGTGTCAGAAAGAGGTGGCTGAAATGCAAAATTATGTGTCCAGCATTATTGCCTGCCATTCAGTTTTTGCCAAAGAAATTAAGCATTAATCTCATTTTTATAGTCATTTGAAATTGCATGAGTATATCTATCATGATTAAGTAAATTTTTTGAATTTTAAAAACAAAATTTTAAATAAAATTGAAAAGTTGAAAAATGATTCAATATTTGATTTAAAACCTAAAGGCAGGTTCTTACAATTAGTTATATGGTGTTGGGCCTTTCCTTTGTTGCTCTTTGTGACAATTTTATCTCAGTGAGAGGACTGAATTCTGTGAGTCAGTGCCTCATTTCGTCCTCATCTGTAGCATAGCACATCTGCTTCTTTCCCTCTCCTTCATCTTATCCTTTTTTTTTGGGGGGGGGGGGGGGCTTGCACTTGGTAGCAAGTGTTCTACCACTGAGCTACATCCTCAGCCCTTTTAAAATTTTTATTGGTCTGAATAAATTGCCCAGGCTGGCCTCAAACTTGTGATCTTCCTGCCTCAGACTCCCAAGCTATGCCAACTTTATCTTTTCTTTCTTTCTTTCCTACTGGGGATTGAACCCAGGGGTGCTTTATCATTGAACTGCATCCCCTGCCCTCCCCTACCCTTTTTTTTTTTTGAGACAGAGTGTGGCTAAGTTGCTGAGCCTCCTGAATTTGCAATCCTCCTCCCGCAGCCTCCTGAATCTCTGGGTTTACAGGCCTGCATCACTGTGCCTTCCCAGTTTGTCCACCTATTTGGTTGTGCTGGGAATTGAACCCAGGGCCTTGCCCATATGAGGCAAGCACTCTACCAACTGAGCTAAATCTCCGGCCCCTGTCCAGCTATGTTTACTTGACTTTTTTTCCTGCTTAACTCTTTAACCTGCCCTTATATATCCTGAACCAAGTAAAACATTTCTTGGGGCGGGGCATGGGTCATTGAACTCCAGTCTACAAAGACAAGTAACAATTCTGTCATGGACATTAGGTTACTTACTATCTTCTGTGGGCAGTTATGTAACTACAAAGTTTCTATGTTTACCCTGTGGCTGATAAAGAGAAAGCTAAAGCTGTTTCATTCACTGGTAGTATTTCTCAAGGTGCTTCCTCCTTTTGGTACTGGGGATTGGAATGCATCTGTGCTATACCACTGAGCTACATCCCCAGACCTTTTTTTGCTTTTTGAGTCAGGATCTTGCTAAATTGCCTGGACTAGAGTTGAGGTGCCTCTTGCCCCTGCTCCCCTCCCACAAGTCATTTTAAAGATCCTTAATTCTTCATTTGCCTTTGGTCCCAAACAAGAAAATCTGGGTCAGCTAGTGAAAAAAAAAAAAAATTTTTTTTTTCTTACTTTGGATCCTGTTGCTTTCCTCCCATGCTATTTCAGCCCTAGCCCTGCCCTATTCCCAGTGGCCTTTACCTTCATTCCTTCTGTGCTCTGCTGGGCATCTTTAGAGGAAAACTTCACACCAACTTCCTCTACTATAAATTTGCTCCCTCCCTTCATCTCTACACTTGTCTTTGCCAACATACACCACAACTTCTTCCCTACTTTTTTTTTTTTTTAAGCCCATATCCCTTCCTGGCTCTTTTCCATCTTTAACACTCTTGTTGAAATCCTCCCCCCTCCTTTTTTTTTTTTTTTTTTTGATGAGAACTGGGGTTTTTTAAAAGGCTGGGCTTTGGTTATTTATTCTGCATGATCCACTTCTGCCTTCCTTCCTCTTCTATCACCTTTTTTCTTATTCTGGACTGTTTTGAAACT